TACAAAATCCCCATCTGAAACAAAGAAAATAAACTGTTTAGAATAATTTAGCTTTATTCAACTGGACAGGGGCGGATTTAGGAAATTTGGGGCCTTAGGCAAAGACAGGCAGGGGGCCCTCTGAATTGAGAAGACAACACATAAAACAGACCCATTCTACAGATAAAGAAAGTTTAAAAGAATAGACATACAGTATTTGTTCTACCTGTATTTCCTCTCTTCTTATCCCTTTTCTTGAGGTTTTCCTCTCTATGTTTTCTTTTTTTGCCCTTTTCCTTGTGTTTTCAAAAAGGCAAAAGTAAATAACCCAGTCCTTCTTTTCACTGTAGACAAGCCATGATCTGCTTATCTGTTCTCCATTTTTCATTTGGATGAAATAATAGCTGCATGAGTCATGACAGCAGACAAGATAGAGGAGAGCAGGAGGCGGGGTTACCAATCTACTTGCTCTTGAGAGCAGAGTTCGCTGCTTTTAGATAAGTCTCCATAAGCAGAAGAAAGTCGCTAGATTTGGCACTAGGCGCTTTTTTTGAAATCAAAGTGCTAGAGGGGTCTAAAAAGTCGCTAAATATAGCGACAAAAGCGCTAAGTTGGCAACACTGCTCTTCCAGCCATTTGTTTTCAAATGGTTTGCTGCTGTCTGTTCGGACCTTTCTGAACATGTGCAGCTAATGGACTGATCCAATATGGTGGACACTGAAGAAAGGGAGGGGTTGAGACATACTTGGTTTTATAAGCGTTCTGATTTTATTTTAGTAAAAGGATTTTTATCAAAAACATAATTCATGTGCACAAATAAGTAATAGCAGTAATAACCATACATGTAAAAGGAGTTTAACGGGGGGGAATTTGGGGCCCTAGGCAACTGCCAGGTTTTGCCTAATGGTAAATCCGCCCCTGCCACTGGAAATACTGTTTCATCTAAGGAAGTAATGATGATAAATGACACGCTCTCTTCACCTTCTCTCTCAACAGCTGCTGAAGCTTCTCCTCCTGCATCTTCACCAGTTTCTCCTGCTCATAAAGTCTGCTGATTATACCCTGAATACAAAAAAAAAAGTCTGAAAAACATATCTTACAACAAAATGAAGAAATTAGTCAAACAGGATACGACTTACATCAATGTCCTCCACCTCCGGTACATACGTGTAGACTGGTTCCCTGTAGTCTTCTGGGTTCATCTGTTAAGATGAGCACAGTGTTAGAAAAAGGTAACAGGTCAGCTCATACACTTTAGGATCTGGAGATCTAATGCAGTGTCGTTACAGGGGCTCTCTCACTGAGCCTGGTGATTAATCTCAGAGTGGGAACTAATTCACTAAATCAGGCAAAACCTGCAGTCTAAACGCAATCCCTCTGCAGATGAACCTTCTGAATCATGTTTCCTCTCCGGTCACTTTTCTACATCAGAGAGAATAGTTGGTTCCATTGGAAGCGGAATAAGAAGGAAGAGAAGACAAACTTTATTCAGCTATGAGAGTTTTCTACTGAAGGAGCTCAGCAGGACTGTGAAGTCGTTCATCAACATCGATCAAATACTTTATTGGAAGAACTTGATTTCAGATCACTTTCAAAGTTTAATGAGGAGAGAACATGTTAGCAACCATAAAGTGGTCCAAAACTAAAATGGCCTACAGTAAACACACGAGCCCCATTTACACTACCCTCTGAAAACCGATCCGTACCGAGTTTCGGACTGAGCTTGAATCAGAGCTCGCTTCCTCACAACCCTTTACACATCACGCAAGTACAATTACGGTACTACTGCTTTCTACAGGTAAACAAGCAAACCAAAATGCGACGCCCATACCATTAAGGATGCTTGGTTATAACTGTGATATTTTCATTGTTTGAGGAGAGTCAGGTGAAGAAGGCAGCCTTTGACTCAGGAAACAATGACAGAGTTGAGGTTCGTCACACTGCTAAGCAGAATCATAGCTGGAAATGGTGTGGCACGGTAGGGAAGCATATATTATTATGAATTAGGGGTGGAACGGTTCACAAAATCCACGGTTCGGTTCAGTTCACGGTTTTCGGTTCGGTATATGTTCATTGTTACACCGAAATGTTGGTCATGTTGCTGTTAGCATAACCAAAACGTGTTGCACAATGCTTGCACACTGTTGCACTTTTATCCACAACTTTCTTTCCGCCGTCATCGTAGGTCACTCTAAATGCAAAGTGGTCCCATACAGCAGACCTATAAAGTGCTGCTGGCGCGTCTTCCAACTCCTGTTCTTTCCCACTCGCCATACCCACACAATTCTCCACAACAACTGATTTTTTTCTGCTACACCCGGCTACGCTGCTTCGCTTCTTCTTCTTCTTGTTTACTACTGGTGGTTGGCTTTGGTCGCAGTACCGCCACCTTCTGCTCTGGAGTGTACACGCTTCGCCTATGAGAAAAAGGAGCAGCGCATGAACTGAACGCAACACACGCGAACTGAACCGAGACAGTCGAACCGAACGGTTCGGACGGTTTTCATAAACTGCTCCATCCCTATTATGAATGTCTGAAATTTCCTTATTACGGAGGCTGACAGGAGGCTGAAAGGAGATGACGCCATCTCCTCATGCGCTCTTTGTTATCTGAGAACCGTGCCAGAACTGAACAGCGCCGAGTCCTACTGATGAACTAGTACCAGCTTAGTGCGGTTCCGTTGTGTCCGACACAGTCTGGTTCACTTGTGCGTACCTTTTACACTCAACAGTTATCTTTGTTACCATGCTCAGACCATTCGTAGGACGGTTTTAAAAGGGTAGTGTAAATTGGACTGCTTTGGGCTACTTGATTACCAGATTTGCACCATCATTCTAGACTGGCGATTGGCTGGTGTGGAAATAAAAGAAAATGGATCTATTTTCAACCGGTTGAAGTGAAACTTTTCAGTTTGGAGGCTACAGGGGGCAAAGAGGTTTATCTTTTTTGGTGTTTAACTTTTCTTTCAAAGGACATTTAACGTTTGGAAAGATTCTGAGCCTTTTGGAAAATTAAAGGTCTACACAGAGACTGCTACTGTAGTGATGCCAGCCATGTTTATCTCTACTTTTCAATTTCTCTTTGATTGGGAAATATTGATAAAACCTCGTTTAGCAGCAACTCTCATACTAAACTCAGGTGTGTTGCTCCAAACTGGCAGAATAGAAGAAATATGCCCTTTTATTGTCTTATATTATAGCTCCTACAGAAAAAAAGGGAATTGGAAGAAATGGTTTTTAGCAGGAATAAACATTTCTACAACTTTTAAACGACACCACTCAACAGGTTAAAGATGTTGTTTTATCAAACTGCTTCAATTGTAAATTATTATTAATCGAATGTTTTACCTCTTGAACTAATTCCTTTGAAATCAAGAAGCAGATTTTCAGATGTACCTTTAACAAACATTCCAACTGTAATAACTTTCAAGAAATGTTAAGATTATGAAAGAAACATTCGATTTCAGCTGCATTGGATCCCTTGTTTCCAAGAACAGTACAGAACAGATACCAACTTTAGTCAGAAATATAAAACAGTACAGTCCTCAAACATTGAGTCGGTGACTTCAATCTGAGTTGTTTTGTTTCTGCTCACATTGGATATGAAATGCCAGAATAAATTAGTCTTTAAATACAAACTTTCAGCATTTGATAAGGAAGCGTTTATTGCGTTTATTGATTAGAGAAATCATTTGAAACTCATTTTATGTGGACTAAATATTCCAGATTATTTTGGCATAAGTAAATAGTTTTTTACTTTAACTTCCAACTCATTTCAAATCCAATATGAGATCATCGACAAAAACAACACAAAATGACACACGGCCCAAATACTTTGAGACTCTATGAAGACATTCCTCTCTCACACCTGCGATGGTTCACACACTTCCCTGAACATGTTCTCCCTCTGTTCAACCACATGGTACATTTAAAGCAGCAGGAACCACATGGCATTCCACAGAGAGCATGCACACTCTCCCACAGCTCGGAGAGCTTCACAGAGGGGGGGTCATGTGGACTACCAGTTACATGGGGAGGAAGAGGAGGAGGAGGGAGACAGACTTCTGGCTGCAGGACAGGTGGGAATGCAGCTGAAGTGGTGCCGGTATGCCAATGAAAGAGTGAAAGGGGACCCTGGGGCGGTCAAAGAGGTGGAAAAGGGAGGTCACAGTTAAAATCAGGGAATTCACTTTATGACTAGAGGGCAGGGGGGGTTTAAAAGGGAAGTTTACCTAAAATATAGTAGAATAATCTGAACCACTGGTGCCGATATGTAATATAATCTATACTACTACACTCTAAGTGTTGGGCTTTAATGGAATAATCAAGCATCTTAACTGATTACACTAATAACACCATAATCTTTCACGCTTTAATTAAAACAACACAAATTATCTTACAGGATTAAATCTGGAAAAAAATAAGGAAGTGGTGATCTAAAAAGGTTTACTGTGGTAAAAATTGTCCTGCAAGTCTTTAAAATAGCACCCTGGCTGGGGGAGGGGCAATAACACAGGTAGATCTCAGTAAATTAGAATATCATAGAAAAGTCTGTTTATTGACTGATATGTTTTTAAGATGATGGCGTAGAGCTAATGTTAACATTTTTGAAATGATTTAAAGAATGAGAGACTTTTCAAAACAGAAATATATTTTTATGGTCAGATTAAGGCCTATGGAACCAATAAGAGACTGTTGACACTTAAAGGAATAGTACACCCAAAACATGA